ATACTCAACAAGCCTGGAAATAACTTACATGTCTAATGGGCCATAATTGTATTTTCTTCATGTTTGTAGGGTCTTATCCTTTCACGTTCATGTATCATCTGGTGTTCGAAATTCTAAATACATATAACGTTATACATATTCATGTGGCAATAATTGGGATCTAGTGAGACTTGTCGGTTGACACCATTGAGTGTATGACCGTAGCTTGTAGTTATAATCAGAGTCTCCTAGAGGGAGAGCGAGAGTTTGTGTATAGATCTATACGGGGGTGACTCCCCCACACCTGAGTTGTTCGCTACAGTTAGACTAGGTCAGTCTAGGGTGACAAAACCTTGATCAAAATCCGGCGTTTGGAAAAATGTCAAGACATGCAATTCAGTCACTATCATGCATGGTTATAACGACTCATATAGAGATCCATTACCATCATGACATTTCGGAAATCAAAACTCGTATATCATATTGATACCAACAAGTCATACGATAATGCAAGGACTGCAACATTTTATAAATCAGAAAATATCGGATTTTCTGGGGAAACGCTATTATTCAATTACCTTCTACTTACAACAGAAAGAATACAAAGAAATTTGAACTGCACACTTATACATGCTTTTACTATGAAATTCACACATGCAACTATTCTCGATTTTCACATCATTTTTCAGATTTTTTACAGAAAATATATGATTTTCTGGGTTTTACAAACAATACAAAATCTTTCATTCAAACATCTTTATGAACTCACCAACATTATATGTTGACCGTTTTCAAAATAACTTGTATTCTCAGGTAACCGTTAAGCAGAAGAACCTTAAGTGTGTGGATTTATTTTTGTGTAATATCAATCATCGTACAATTAATATTTTGGAATATGTAACCCAAGACAATGTACTTGATGTGAACAATACCAGTTGTAATATGTAATGTTTGGTGATGATTGTGTTATGTTTCATGTATATTCATTGTGATGATAATTCCATTGATAGTCACACGAGCCCTCGGACGATTCCGCCGTCTGGTTCGGGGTGTGACAGCATCTCAGCGGCGGATGAAGAGGTTTCACAGCCTCATGTTGACATTCCTCGCTCCAACTTGGTCACCAATGGATCTCCCGGTCAATAGGACGAGACATGATGGTTGGGTTCGGAGGTTAGAGATGTTAGCAACAGTGGTAGCGGCCGGAAGTTAGGGGTGGCGGCTGGAGGGAGGTAGGGGTGACGGCTGTATCACAACCGGTTTTAGGGTTTAGGTTTGAGAGGGTAAGGAGGTTATATACCTGGTAGCTTACAAACTAATTCCCATAATAACAACAAAAGTCCCTCCTTTCTAAAAATCATTTCGAATTCACCCCATTATTTACCGTTTAAACCCTGGTTCCCATAATTCCTCTCATATTAGGTCCAACAGTTACCAAACAGCCCCTCTTCTAAAAATTGTTTTCTAATGAAGTCCATATGTTACCATTCAGCCCCTGATTCCATTAATTCTTTCATTTTAAGTCAAAATAATACCAAATTGCCCCTTACTTCTAAAATCCTTTGCAAAATAAATCTCGAAATTATACTTTAATCCCCCGAAGATTCAAATATCGCCATTTGGCTTCCCGAAACCAACACCCCGCTAATCATTATTTGATTTTGGCTATAAAATAATAATAATATCATATCTCGGGGTTCCGGATTTATTATTTAATTATTCTACTTTAAACGGGAAGTTACATAAGCTCTATCTTGAAGATATGATGGTTTTTGTATTAAGACATAAGCCTTTTAGGATTAGGGTTTGAGCTTAATGCCTTTGGGGTAGTTCTTAATGGGTAAACTTGGAAACTTTACCCTTCTAGACGTATTATCGGTCTAGATCTGGAAGATAAGGCTTTGGTTTGAAGAATAGTGGCTTAATGTATTAAGTGGGTTGGCAGACTGATGAACTCGATGAGTTCATAAGGGAACTCAGCGAGTTGGTTTGTGATTGTCCCGATTCTGTTGAAAAAGGAGGAACTCGACGAGTTAAAGGGAAACTCGACGAGTTGATTCGAAATATCGCGATTTTGTGATTCATGGAAACTCGGCGAGTTGAAGGATAACTCGACGATTTGAGTCAACTCAGAGCGTTGACTTTGACTTTGACTTGGATGTTGACTTTGACTTTGGCCAAGTTTGACCGTTAAGGGGGTTTTGAAATGTCGATTGGTATCTAAGGGATTGTTTCTGTTTAGGGATTGAGTAGAGCTGTTTTCGGGGCCGGGGATTTATCCAGTTATCTTTCAGCATTCGAGGTGAGTTTCCTTACCAAGTTTAGCGGGTCGAAGGCACCAATGCCGGCCCGTGTTATGTTCTGTCGATAGAATGCTAATTGTCTTCGTGACTCTTGCATGTACCTATGTTTTTATGCTAGTGGACTAAGGTCCAATGTCAGGCGGAGCCCGATGACTATCTGTATGCTATGTATATTATTTGTGTATGTGTTTATATGCTTTCCGAGCTCAGCTCGATGACCGGGCGGGGCCCGATGACCGGACGGGGTCCGATGACCGGGCTGGGCCCGATAACTGGGCGAGGCCCATTGTATGTTTATTGTATGTTTGATATATGGTATTTTGGGGGAACTCACTAAGCTTTGTGCTTACGGTTTTCAGTTTATGTTTCAGGTACCTCTGGTTCCATGGGGAAGAGCTCGGGATGACTGCATCGCACACACCATTGAGATTTTATTATTATGTTTTACTCTGATTTATGACAACTGATACATTGGTTTATTTCAAATGTTTGAATGATATGGAGAATTACTATTTTATCTAATATTAACTCGAAAAATTTTGGGACCATATTTTTGGATGTTACATTGTGATAATTGTCGGATGTGTATGAATTGTTTGATAATTCCGTGATTTATGTGTATCATTATGTGGTAGTGGAAGGGGTGAAATATACCCGATATCCGATTGAAATAGACCGAAGGGGCAGGTCGAGCACCCAGATATGTTTGGCATTATCCGGTTGAAATAGACCGAAGGGGTAGGCCGCACACCCAAATATGTGTGGCAGTATGTTGCTTTTGTATGTTGTATGATGTGGGAACTCACTAAGCTTTGTGCTTACAGTTTCAGTTTGTGTTTCGGGTACTTCCAGCTCGAAGGGAAAGGGGCATGGATGATCGCATCGCATCACACTATGATTTTCCGCACTAGAGATTTTGGGGACTTGTACTCTAATAATATTTTTCTATGACATGTTTTGACTACTTGATGTGATTGTTGTGTGTTGACATGAGTTTTGGAAATGATAATGTTTTCAGAATATTGGTTTTACTAATTTAAAAATAAAATTTTTGGGTCTTATTTTTGGGATGTTACAAGATTATTTAGGATATCTGCCGAGTATACATACCAATTTTTTTTCAATAACAAAGACTTTTTTTTTAAATAAAGAAACAATGTATTCCACAATGTCTCGTGAAAAGAAAAAAACCCCAAAAGTCTAAAACTGTTCTTTATAAATCAAAGAATCATAACTCTAAATTTTAATCGGAAATTGTAAAAACGTGATAAACAACTATTGAGGTCCTCCGAATTTTTTTGACACCACTAGGAGAAATTATATTTATTTTTTGAATTATAACGCTTAAAATTAAATTATTTTCATTTAAAAAAATAAAAATAAAATGTAGTGAAATGTGACAATTTTCTATTTTGTAGTGAGTGAAATGTGAGTGAGTGGAAAACTGACGTGATACTCAAAAAGTGAGTGGTGAAAAATAGGTACACCCTCTGGTCTTAACGATAAAAAAATATCTATATAAAAGCAAATTAAAACATAATTAAAAAATAATAATTTTTTAAACTATAATTGTCAAAATTTAGAAATCTTCTATAATATGTTCCACTCTAGTCACGCGACAATGTAAAAAGTCTAGTAACAAATATCAACGAGATCTAACATTTCATATAAACAATATATTAGAACTTAGTTATCACAATACAACGAGTGAGAAGACAAACAAACAACAAGATGCGCTGCTAAGCCTTTCTGTATGGTAAAACCAATTCTTTTGAAGACTACATCAATATATCTAGATGATATAACATTGATATGTATCATCCGTTGTACTCGATTAAGAAGTTTCATCGCATCCGACGCAAGGGAACCAAACGTATCAAACGCAAATGGTATGAACACGTGTTGATTTTCCATGCATAATTTCTATGTTTTGTAACCTTGCATGTAGCAACTTTTAAATCAGTTTGTCCCACCTTGAAACTCCTAGCCCTTAAGCCCACAAGATGAGATACCCATGTAAGGTCCACACAAGCATGTTTCCCTCCAACCCATCCAAAAATCTAAACGTCAGCCGGTCTAAGGATTAACATTCCTTCTGTCGGGTCGGTCAAGAAATTCACAGTTGTCTCTTTATTGGTGAAACCCCAACATGCTTAAATATGTGAAAAAAAACATCTTTAATCATATGATGTCTGTATTTGAACCTCAAAAGTTCATATTAAAATAAGAAAAAACATCATAAATGGTCCATGTGGTTTCCCAAAATCTGAAGTTTAGTCCACATGGTTTAAAAACCTCATAGATGGTCCCTGTGCTTTCAAAACTTTTGACGATTGGTCCTTATTGCTAACTCCGTTAAGTTTGTCCGTTAACTGAAGGGTATTTTTGTCATTTCACTACCATAGGGACCATTTATGATGCTTTATCTTATTTTTTTAAATATATATATATATATATATATATATATATATATATATAGTATTTAAAAGGTCTCTCTCTCTCTCTCTCTCTCTCTTCTCTCTCTCTCTCTCTCTCTCTCTCTCTCTCTCTCTCTCTCTCTCTCTCTCTCTCTCTCTCTCTCTCTCTCTCTCTCTCTCTCTCTCTCTCTCCAGTTCAGAGTTTTCATCTCTTTACCCCAGTATTCCTTTTGTTCGATTAGTGGGAAATCTGAACCCTATTTCTTCATATCTACCTTAATCTTTCCATCTCCAGAAACGAATGATGGAGGTTAACGGAGACAAGCACGAAAAACACCTTGTGAAGCTCAAATGTTCGGTTCAAAACTACGATTGGGGTCGAATTGGCTACGATTCGAGGGTTGTCAGGCCGTTTGAAAGGAACTGTGGGGGTCAAATTAAAGAAAACAAGCATTACGTTGAGTTTTGGATTGGTACTCATGTTTCCAGATCCTCGTTTTTTGAAGAGACTGATAATGTAAGTTTGAAGAACTGGATTTTGTAAAACACAACAAAAGGGGAATAGGTATCTATCTTCGTTCCTTCAACAGATTGGGAAGGGGAAACGAATGGAAGCATGAATCGAAGGCTCCGGCAGTGAAGTTATCAAATCGCAAGGAGGGGTGGGGAGATCGATCTCCGGCGACCCTCTGAGGGTTTAATTTGCAATATTGTTGGTTGAGAACCAAAGGAACATGTCTCCGTATTCATCTGATCGGGTAATGAAAGAGAGGTTGTGGGAGGTTAAAGGTTGCTTAACCCGATGGAAGGAAGCACTTTTGGTGCTTGACTGGACCGAAGAAGGAAAGGGGAAGGAAACCAGCGGGGCTGCTGGTGGTCTCGGTGGGTGCAACGCGGGGCTGCTCAAGCAGCTTCTCGACTACTTGCTTCTGCTCCGGCAATGGATCACGAAGGGAAAGGGGAAGGTTGGTCTGAGAGGATCAAGGAAGCAGCAACAAGTCAGGTGCAGGGGAGATGCGAAGGAGGCTGTTGCCTTCTTGACTGTCGGAAAACTCCACCTCCAGTGGATATTTATTAACTGAATCTAAAGAAAAGAGGAGGGGTGAAATAGATCTGCATAATGCTTTTAGGGGGTGTTCTTGGCAGCTTCATCAGCGGACATAAAAGGGAAAACGAGAGAGAGAGAGAGAGAGAGAGAGAGGTGGGATCTTTTACATATTAAAAAAAAGGAGAAAACATCATAAATGGTCCCTGTGGTAGTGAAGTTACGAAAATACCCTTTGGTCAATGGACATAACTTAACGGAGTTAGCAATAAGGACCAATCGTCAAAAGTTTTGAAAGCACAGGGACCATCTATGAGGTTTTTAAACCATGGGGACTAAACTTCAGATTTTGGGAAACCACAGGGACCATTTATGATGTTTTTTCTTAAAATAATTATATAATTACGGTAAGACTTAATATTATTTGATCCTTAATAATTATAAGGGTATACTTATCTGAGGCAATCATACATTTTTCCCATGTTATCGTTGTCCCATGTATATACCTAAATTAAAATTAAGCAATAGACATAAAATCAAAGTTTTAGTTTTTCTTTCGATATTCTTATATGTTAAAAAAATATAGCAAATATCAATCAATAATAAAAACACAAAAGTCAACAGACAAACTTTGTGTATGACAATATGAAATCAATAACTTGTCGTAATAATGTTAAAGTCTTAGTGAAACCTTTTAAATATATAATGACGTGTGGAAATTTTTAAATACATGTCGCTTGTTTTTTAAAAGTTATTTTAGTAAATTTGTTAAAATGTATGAGTTTTTTTGTTATATACTAGGTGTAAAACCCGTGGATTACACGGGTTGATTAAAGAAAATAAAATATTAAAATGTAAATAATAAGTATTTTTTAAAATAAAAGTTTAAAATAAGGAATGAAAAAACATATTAATTGCAATTTAATATAATATTTATTACATTTGATACTTTACATATATAAGTATAAGTATTATGTGGTTTTTTAATTTTAAAAATTGAAAAAAAAACCATAAATTGACATGTGGATATTATTTATTTAAAAAATATCACAAAATGACAAGTGTCAAAACTCATTAGAGATTAACATGTGGTAAAATTATCTTCATTTATTATAGTAGATTATTTGAAATAGTTTTTAGATTCATAACTTTTAAATTAAAATAAAAGTTTTAACTTTGTGCCCCTAAGAAAGTTTTTCCATTAATTCGATTTTTTTGTTTAAAAGCTCAGACTCCTAAAAACTTATTACTGAATATATTTAAAAGGGAATATGACTTATTAAGGTAATTAACTTTTCGGTTTGTTCACATCTGGATAACTATCTTTTTTTTGTACACATCTAGGTAACAAACTTGTTGGAGGTGTTCACATATGACCATTATAACCTGCTGTAGCAGGTTACATCCTAGATGTGAACACTTTTAACAAGTTCGTTACCTAGATGTGTACAAAAAAAATAGTTACCTAAATATGAACAAAACGAAAAGTAAGAGTAAATTACACGAATGGTCCCTGTGGTTTGGGGGAATTTGTGTTTTTGGTCTCTAACTTATTTTTTTTAACTCGGATGGTCCCTATTGTTTATTTTTGTTGTGTGTTTGGTCCCTGTCTTACCTAAAAAGACTATTGTGCCCTTATTAATTTATTTTTTTAATTAAATTTCTCAAATGTGGTTTCAGGCTTACGGTGAGGAGATACATATATGTGGGGTCTGTTAATTTTTTTAAATATATAAAAAATAAATACATAAATAAGAAAATTAATTAAAAAATAAATTAATAAGGGCACAATAGTCTTTTTAGGTAAGTCAGGGACCAAACACGCAACAAAAATAAACAGTAGGGACCATCCGAGTTAAAAAAAATAAGTTAGGGACCAAAAACACAAATTCCCCCAAACCACATGGACCATTCATGTAATTTACTCTTACTTTTCGTTTTGTTCATATTTGGGTAACTATTTTTTTTTGTACACATCTAGGTAACGAACTTATTAAAAGTGTTCACATCTAGGATGTAACCTGCTACAGCAGGTCATAATGGTCATATGTGAACACTTCCAACAAGTTTGTTACCTAGATGTGTACAAAAAAAAAGATAGTTACCTAGATGTGAACAAACCGAAAAGTTAATTACCTTAATAAGTCATATTCCCTATTTAAAATGTAGAAACGATTGATTTATAAAAAAAGAAAAGAAAATCTTTAAAGTAAGCTGGTTTAATTAAATCAAATTAATTCATGGAAATTAACCTAAAAACATATCAACATATGATAACTTTAATTTAATTTACCATAATATAAAAGTAATATTGATGGCTATTGTATATGCAGTTAATGGGTTGAAATTAAAAGGTGATAAAAGAAAAAAAATGATTTAAAAGGATCTATCATTTTTGTTTATATTTTGAAAATATTTTTTGTATATGATTAACCAACGAACTTTTTAAAAAATTTCAAATGTTACATATTGAATGACTATCTTAAGTTACAACTTACTTGACTTAAACCTGACAAACTAAAACAAAAAAATAACATAAGAGAGTAATTATTTATTTGTTTTGTTCATATTTAAACAATTTTGTTTTTATACTGATTGACCATCGAACTTGTTAGAAGTGTTCGATGTCATTTATGACGTTATTTATTTATATATTTATTTCGATAAACCAATTATTATCAATTATAAAATATCTAATAATAGCAAAATAATCATTTATCTATTTTCTTATTTTGATATTCATTTTCTTTCATTTCAAATGCTTACGGTGATGAATACATTCATAACCACAATGTGTTTTGTGGTGATGTATAGCATTTCAAATGTTTATGGCTATAAATTTGATTTGGAAGCGAAACTGGTTTGATCCAAATCCTTTTAACAAATTTAAAAATCAAATCCTAACCAGGTTGTGAAAAAACTTGGGCATCGTGGCGTGTATTGCATGTATTTTGAACAAACAAATAAATTACCCTCAATTACCTTCTTAAAACATTTGCATGGTTTAGTTTGTTATGTTAGATGTCACATAATTTGTAACTTAAGATAACATGTTATAATGATATGTTTACACATTTTTACCCAGGGCCGTCCCAAGTCAATTTGAGGCTCGGGGAAAAAACTAAAAATGAGGCCCCTCAAAATTTAATAATCACAAACAATAATACAATGATACGGAGACAAGTACATGAGCATTTGCTATTAAATTATATATATATATATATATATATATATATATATATATATATATATATATATATATATATATAGGGAAGGGTTATTTGGAAAACAAAAAAACCCTAAAAATCATAAAAATGCATAAAAAAATACCTAGAGATCACCAAACTTTTTTTTGACATTTTTTATGAAAAAATCGCAGGTTTTTAAAAAATTCGCTGGAAAAAAAAAACTGATTTTTTATTTTTTTTTCAGCGAATTTTAATAAAAAGCTGCGATTTTTTATAAAAAAAATTCAAAAAAAAGTTTTGTGATCTCTAAGTATTTTTTTTATACATTTTTTTGATTTTTAGGGTTTTTTGTTTTCCATAGAACCTAAACATATATATATATATATATATATATATATATATGGGTTTAAAAGAAATATGAGTTAAATATTAAACCAATATACCACTAGGTTAGTACAAAAAAACTAATGACAAAGAAAAAAACACATAATCGAACCATTTTGAAAAACCGCCATTTTGATGTCCGAAAAAAAAAACAAAAAAGATAAGTGTTTGGAAAAAAAATCATAGTTTGGTGAAAAATAGGTAGGTTAGCATGATTTTTGGTAACAAAACTATAAATAATAGTTATTATATATTAAAAGATGATGCAAGGTAGAAAATCTCATATATAAATAGAAAAATTATCCATGATAATGGCTAGAAAAAGACCAAAATTTTAAATGAAATAAATGTTTGGGTGGTTTGTAAAAAAAAAAACAAAGAGTCTAGGAATCATTTCAATAACTTGGATGATTTTTGAATAACAAAGAAGAATGGAGGGACTATTTCTGTAATTTGGATTCAAAACTCAATAAAATACTGTAAAGGTATTAAAAAATAAATAAAAAAAAAGCCTCCAAAGCGTCTCTAATTACTTGGCACGTTACTAACCATCTAATCTAAGGAAATGTTGTATAAATTTTAAACACAATTCATATATATAAAGTAAAAGACAAATATAATTTTGGGGCTCAAACCGTAACGAGGCCTGGGGCCGTCGCCCCCGCCCTATTGGGCCGGCCCTGTTTTTACTAATTTCGTCAAATTATATAAAAAAAATATTTAAATATAACAAAAACAAATAATTAATTAGCTTTCCAAATCTTTTTTCAAAAATAATAGAGTTACGAAACATCGTTTGAACTCTGAAATGTCAAAGACCTGGGCACGTGTTTTGCATGTATTTTGAACAAACAAATAAATTATTTGAAATATTATAAAAGACGAAAAGTATTCAACACCTTCTCCTGTGTTGCTGTCGAATCTTATCAGATAAACCCATTTGTGAAAAGTAAAAGGAGACACATTTCCTGCAGATCATTCCATTCCTAGTATACTCATTTGAAAACTTAAAGGTTTCCGTGTTCTTCCCATCATCGTCTATTCACACCACAAAACACACACAGTAACAATGGCTTCCGTTTACGAACACAATCAACAAAAAAGTGTGATGCTTGTTTCAGTGCACGCTATTGGTTCACGAAACCCCATGACAAGGCTGGCCAGACGTCTTGTTTTGAAAGGCCTCCATGTCACTCTCGCCATCAATGACCTTGCCCTAAAAAACCACTCTTCCATCGTCGGCGGCGTACACCTCGAGTATTTTTCCGACGGCCTACCTGAAGATCACGATCGACTCAACGGAGACATAGATATCTTCATGAGCTCACTGCGTAAGTTTGGACCCGGAAACCTCTCCGCCTTAATCGGATCATGTGGTCGAAAATTCTCATGTATTATAACCATGCCTTTTCTTCCTTGGGCGGCTGACGTCGCGGCGGAGCTTGGGCTGCCCTGCGCCATGGTTTGGATCCAAGCGTGTACAGTTTACCAGATATTTAACTGTTTTTACAATCGAATCAACGAATTCCCAACTAAAAATAACCTTGAAAATATGGTCGTGAATTTGCCTGGGGTTCCAACGCTTCGAGCGGAGGATTTCCCGTCTTTTGTTATTCCGGCGAATACGATGTCAACGTTCGATAGCATATTGAAGGAAGTCTTTTGTAACATTCAAAAGTACAAATGGGTGTTGGGGAATTCGTTCATGGAGCTTGAGAAAGATGTGATAAAAGCAGTGAATGACGCCGGACTTCCGTTTTGGCCTGTAGGACCGATTGTTCCGGCAACCTATTCAGGGGAGGAAGACACAATCGACGGCGATCTCAAGGGTTTAACTCCGTTTAAATCCGCCGGCGGGAGTAATTGTTTGGAATGGTTAGACAAACACCCGCCGGCGTCAGTTGTTTATATCTCATTCGGAACACTCCTGTTTTTATCCCGGAAACAAATAGAAAGCATAGCAACTAGTCTGAAAAGCTCGAAGCGACCATTTCTCTGGGTGGTGAAGCTGCCGGAAAATCAAGAAGCTCAAAAAGTTGAGATCTTGGAAGAGATTAAGGAACAGGGATTGATCATGAGTTGGAGCCCACAAACAGCAGTGTTGTCACATCCATCAGTTGGGTGTTTTGTAAGTCACTGTGGGTGGAACTCACTGATTGAAACTATAACGGCCGGTGTTCCGATGATTGCTTGTCCACAGTGGACTGATCAGCCAACGAATGCAAAGCTTGTTACCGATGTTTGGAGAATCGGTGTGAAACTAAAGAAGAATGTAGAAGGGATTTTTGATGGGGAAGAAATAGAAAGATGTGTGGAAGAGGTTCTGACTGGGTCTAGATCGGAGGAATTCAGAAAGAACGCGGCGGGATTGAAAAGGGCGGCGTGTGAGGCGGTGGCAGATGGTGGCTCGTCGGACAAGAACACTCAGTTGTTTGTAGACGCAGTGTCGTCTTCTTGCTCATGAAATTTATGTTTGCAATGCGACGATGTGCTGTCTGCAATGAGGATCTCTAGAGAAGTTAAGTTGAAGTCATAACTTAAAGGCTCGAGTTAGATTAAAGAAAGGAGCCAAAGGGAATAGAGGCAGCACAATCTGGAAGAAAGGACGAATAAAAAGATGTAATTTGTGCGTCAATTGTAATTTAGCTTGTTTTTTTAATTAAAGATGTATTTTATTTTATTTATAATGTGAAATTTTAAAAAATTGATGAAATTATATATAAAATATATATTTATTATTTTTTTAAGTTTAACTTCTTTTTTTTATAAAAGTTAATGTATTTCAAGTAAATGGAAAACAAAATAATATTTTATATGTTTGGTTGACATTCTCATTGTCTGAAGCTAGGGTTTTTCAAAAGGTAAGAAGTTTTTCAAGAGGTAAGAAATTAGGGTCTGATCATGGTTTTTACGAGAAATCATCTCCATTAATTGCTTACTTTTCATGATAATGGTTGCGATTATGCAGGGGTTAGAAATGGGTTCTTCAGACGATGGTAAAGAGAATTAAAATTGGTAGATAGTATTAGGGGTTTTTGTCATAAAAGCCCCCAAATTTACATAAAAAAACCGGTTATGCCCAAAATCGATTTTTTTTTGCCACAGATGCCTAACATTTGCCCCTCATGTTTCATTTTAATGTTTTTTACCGTTTCCCCTTAACCAACCGGTTACATCCCCATTTGCAACCGGTAACATTGTTAAGCCCCTCTCCTCCGTTTCTCCTCCGTTAACACTCCATTTGTTGAAGCATTCTCATTGTCTGAAGCTAGGGTTTTTCAAGAGGTAAGAAATTAGGGTCTGATCATGGTTTTTATGAGAAATCATCTCCATTAATTGCTTACTTTTCATGATAATGGTTGCGATTATGCAGGGGTTAGAAATGGGTTCTTCAGACGATGGTAAAGAGAATTAAAATTGGTAGATAGTATTAGGGGTTTTTGTCATAAAAGCCCCCAAATTTACATAAAAAAACCGGTTATGCCCAAAATCGATTTTTTTTTGCCACAGATGCCTAACATTTGCCCCTCATGTTTCATTTTAATGTTTTTTACCGTTTCCCCTTAACCAACCGGTTACATCCCCATTTGCAACCGGTAACATTGTTAAGCCCCTCTCCTCCGTTTCTCCTCCGTTAACACTCCATTTGTTGAAGCATTCTCATTGTCTGAAGCTAGGGTTTTTCAAGAGGTAAGAAATTAGGGTCTGATCATGGTTTTTACGAGAAATCATCTCCATTAATTGCTTACTTTTCATGATAATGGTTGCGATTATGCAGGGGTTAGAAATGGGTTCTTCAGACGATGGTTACAACGACCCATTTGTTGGAATTTACGAGCCATTTTCCGGGTTAAATGAGATGGACTTTGAGCTGCACGGGATTTACATGGATCATGAACCACGACAGGAGTTTGTATCAAGGCTTGATAAATGTAAGGATCATTTTCTTAACATTCTACTTTGTGATGCGAACATTAGAAATGCAAGTATGACTGATGAGGTGAAAGATCGAGTGGACCATGGTAATGATTTGCAAAATGATGAGCAGGCAGAGGAAGAAGTGACTAACAAATACAGAATACATGATCCAAATGTTAGGTGGGATAAGATGGAACCTAAGTTAGGGGACGTGTTCGAATCACCTGCACAACTGAAATTATGTGTGACAAACTATGCAGTAAATGGAGGGTACCAAATATACTTTCAAAAGAGTGACAATAGAAGAATTGTTGCAAGATGTGGTAAGAGACATGAAGATAATAAATGCCCTTTTAGACTTTATGCAGCTTGGATGTACAATGACAAAACCTTCCAGGTTAAGGCAATGAATTCTGAGCATCTTTGTTCTAGAGTGTTTAAATTTGGGTCTATGGTTACCCCGAAATGGATTGGAAGACACTATGTTACTGAGATAGCAAATAAGCCCAAAGTTAAACTTAGGGAGATGATCAGTGACATCAAACAAAGGTATAGATGTGTGGTATCTATAGGACAGGTTAGAAGGGCAAAACAGTGGGCAAAAGAACTGATTGAGGGTAAATTAAATGAACACTATGCAAGAATTTGGGATTATGCCCAAGAGTTGTTGAGATCAAACCCTGGGTCTACATGCAAAGTTGGTGTTACTAACAATCCAGATGATAAGAATTATTTTAAAAGGTTTTACATATGTTTCAAATCTTTAAGTGTTTGCTGGAAATTAGGGTGTAGGAAGGTAATAGGGTTGGATGGATGCTTCTTAAAGGGCCAGGTAAAAGGTGAATTACTCACAGCCATAGGTAGAGATGCTAATAACCAGGTGTTCCCAATAGCTTGGGTTGTTGTTGATGTGGAAAACAAGGATAATTGGACCTGGTTTCTGGAGCTTCTGAAGGATGATCTTGACCTTGGTTCTGGTGTAGATTTGGTTGTTATTTCTGATCAACATAAAGTAAGTTCCCTTATAATCATAGTATATTTCTATTTGATTATTTCATTATGGTTATAAATACTAAGATAATATGTTTGTTCACAGGGTTTGCTTGAATCTGTTAAGGTTATTTTGCCACATGTGGAGCACAGGCAATGTGCTAGACACATTTATGCAAATTTTAATAAAGCTTTCTCTGGATTGGAGTTGAAGAAGTTGTTTTGGGCTTGTGCAATGAGTTGTGTTGAAGGTGACTTCTTGAGAAACATGGAAAAAATAAAGACCATAAGCCCTAGTGCATATGAGTATCTAATGGTAAAAGAACCCAAAACATGGTGCAGAGCTTACATGAGTGTAGGGTTTGCTTGTGAGGCAGTGGAGAATGGTATTTCAGAGTGTTTCAACTCCATACTTGTAGAAGCTAGGAAAAAACCTTTGATTACAATGCTTGAAGAGATAAGGATATACATAATGGACAGGTTTTCCTTTATGAATGATGAATGCAGTAAATGGAAAGGTAATATATGTCCAGTGGTGATTAAGAAGATGAATCTTTTTGGAAAGAACTTTAGGTAAGACACAAAATAATTGTTTCTTTTTCTAACTGTCATTACAATTGATATATAATGACTAATACATACTCTTTGTCTTCATGCAGGCTTTGGTTAGTAGTGCATAGCCTAGGAAATGTATTTGAAATGAGAAGAGCATGTGCTAGTTACAAGGTAGATTTGGATGGTAGGGTTTGTTCTTGCAGATTATGGGATTTGTCTGGAATCCCTTGTGTCCATGCCATAGCAGCCATTAATTATATCCATCAAACACCAGATGGATATATTAGTGACTACTTTTCAGTGAATAAATTCAAGGAATGCTACTCTACAAACATCAGTCTTGTGAATGGGAGTAATATGTGGCCTCTAACTGGATACAACAAGCCTTTGTGTAGCACCTGGTTCTTGGTACGTATTTTTTCTAAGTAATTTACATTTTTGGCCTTGGACTCGGCGAGTTGAGGGACCAACTCGCCGAGTAGAAGCGAGAGGGGATGCGGGACTTAAGCGATGGACTCGGCAAGTCGGGTCCCGGACTCGGCGAGTAGGCCCTGTCTGGACAAAAAAAACCCTAACCTGAGGGTTTGCACCCTATTTAAACACCTTAACTCGGCCTCCTTCGTCCCATTTGCTCCCAGAAGACCCCCATAGCAAACCCTAGCCGTTATTGAAGCAATCTAAGGCATTTGGAGTGACTTTGGTGCTTTTGTGATCCAAGGAAGGAAGGAAAAGCTTGAGGGATCAAGAGGAGGCTAGAAGGACTCGATTTTGAGCATCATTTGCAGTCTACAGAAGGTATAAAGTCTATACCTTGCTTGCTCTTTTGATAGATCCCATTTTGTGGAGTTTTAGGGCTTTTCTAAGCCATTTTGGTCACCAACCATGATTGCAAGCATGGTTTGGGGTTGATGTTTTGGATCTAGGTCCTTAGAGGGGTTACAAGGCAGAAAGGAGTGGCTTTTAAACTCAAAGAAGGTCCCATGCATTGTAAGAGCTTGTTTTAGGACCTTTTTAGCTCAAAGTCTCATGCAAACACGTAAAGGTTGTAACTTTACGTGCTAGATCGATTGTAGAAGCATAGATCTATCTTTTGATCAAGGGTTGTACATCAGAAGTCGAAGATTTAGTGAGAGGATGTGACCAACTCGACGAGTCCATTCTTGGACTCGGCGAGTCCAAGGTTCTGTCTCATATCAGTTGAGGGTCAAAAGGACCCAGTTGAGTGTGGAAAGGTTTTAGGGAGTCCCGGGGAGTGACCCAACGTTCTGGACTAAGCCATTGTTCTGGGAGTTCATGGGACTCGGCGAGTGCATGAACAGACTCGGCGAGTCCAAGGCAATCTTCTTAGAACTCGACGAGTTGTTCATCAACTCGGCGAGTCGAGGACAGAACTTGTTCATCAGATGAAGGTAGACTCGACGAGTTGTTCATCAACTCGGCGAGTCGGATGAGTTTTCATGTGACGTTCATATGAGAGAAGAACTCGTCGAGTTGACGGTCCAACTCGACGAGTGGGGTCATGGAAGAGGACAAGTAAATGGTGATGGACTCGGCGAGTTGACGACCCAACTCGGCGAGTCCGGTCAACTAGAAGTTGACTTTGACTTGGACTTGGTTGGGGGTAAAATGGTCATTTTACCCTAAGAGTAGATGTCAGTTTCTAACTGAGTGTTTTGTGGGGATTATAGCCGGAGGACTTCCGGAGCATCAGCAGTAGCAGTCAGAGGATTTCCCGCACAGATCAGCAGCTACTACGAGGTGAGTTACCTTCCAGTAGCGGTGGGTCTACGGCCACAATGCCGGCCCACCAGTAGGGATTGTATTGATAGATGTTTGTCTTTGTGATATTCGTCTGTGTTGCTACTACCTGATATGTTATATGCTAGCGTGGTATGATATGTAATAGTGATAGAGTTCGGTTGTTAGGACCGAAGGGTAGGTTAGGCACCCTAGATATGCCTAACAGCATGTTATAATATGTTTAACTGCTAGCATAATATG